TCTTCTGGTGTCCAGGTGTCCCTTCACAGAAAATCTGGCCTGGCCGGCGGCCTCTAGTAAAGGTACAAAATGTCATGCTGCAGCACGTGTGTGTGTTTTGAGGCCGTGAAAATAGGTGTACATGTACCACAGTACCATACCGTACAAAGGAGTCGTAAAGTACCGGTCATAGGTGACCACATAGTTCGAGAGATTCTTCGAGAGAAGCATCCAGCAGCATCACCTCTAAACGAAGACGCAGTTATGGACGGAGAGCCTCTGCCCCAACCACATCCGGTCATCCTGAAATAAAGAATATTATTATATTATTATCTTCACGGCACTCAATAGGGATGTTATTCGCCAAGCTGCGCTGCGCACGCATGGTGCAGCCGGGCCTTCAGGCATGGACGCAGCCAATTGGCGAAAGATTTGCACCTCCTTCCGCTCAGCCTCGGATGCACTCTGCGATGCTCTGGTTACCTGTGCCAGGCGAATAGCTACCAAATATGTGGACCCCATCTCACTGGAAGCTTATGTGGCTTGCCGTCTAGTGCCTTTGGACAAGCAGCCAGGTGTTCGGCCTATCGGGATCGGGGAAGTCGTCCGCCGCATTCTGGGCAAAGCCATACTTCAGATTGTTGGCTCGGCAGTAGAGAGTGCTGTTGGCTGTCTGCAGTGATGCGGTGGGCAAGAGTGCGGCGTGGAAGCCGCCATTCATGCGGTGAAGGCCACCTTCGATGATGACCACTAGGAGGGAGTCCTCGGTTCGCGGATGCAACGAACGCATTCAATCGCCTAAATAGAGCTGTTTGCCTGCGCAATATTCAGCGGCTATGTCCTGAGCTCGCGCCAGCTGTTATCAACACCTACCGCTCCCCAGCTCACCTGTATGTTTTGTATTTGTATTTGTATTTGTATTTATGGATTCTCCACAGGCCTTAGCCTAAATTGAGGGAGTCTCCGTCAACAGCTTATGAAGAAGCTGAGGAGAAAAATAAAAATAGGAAATAGAATGATGCGGGGTGGTAGTAATATAACACAGTGCTCTATGACACCGCTACTCTACGTGGAATGAAACCAGAGGGCTCATAACGGGTGATAGCAAAGTGTGTGCGGACAAGAGCGGTAAAACATTTTGGGCTGGATACAGTACGAATGGCAGCCGGGAGGGAGTTCCATGTGGCAGTGGTGACAAAGAGAAAGGTGGCACGGGTGTGTGTGTGCTGGCTCTAGCAGGTGGGAGTAGATGTTGGGGGCGCCTGGCGCTGTTTGACACTGAGTAGCCTAGGTCCTCCAGGGTCGTCATCTGGCTATTGATAAGGTGGTGGAGCTCAAGAAGGCACTGAATGTGTCTTCGCCATGCGAGGCTGGGCCACTGGAGGTGCGCGAAAAGTGAGGCTTTCGGCTCCGTTTGAGGAGGATACACGCCATACTTCCGCAGGATCACACGTGCCACTCTTGCCTGTAGCCGTTCAAGGGTAGTAGCCTGAGCACTGGAGAGTTGAAATTGCCAGAGGGATGATGCGTATTCAACCACAGGTCGAACATATCCAGTGTACAAGCGGCTGGCTACGGCTGGGGTGATACGCTTGGTCATGTGGATCAGAAGGACTGCTCGCTGGCGAAACTTTGTCGTGATGGTGCCGACGTGGTTGGTGAAGTCGAGGTTAGAGTCCAAGATGACCCCAAGGTGTCGGTGAGTCGTTACATCAGACACGTCATCTCCCTGCATTCTCAGGTGCTTAGTAGGGTGGGCACGTTCTGCACGACTTCTAGGAGAGAACTGCATGGTGCAAGACTTCGAAGGGTTGACGCACCCTCCGACTGAATCAGCCCACTGCAGAACGCCATCAGTGGCGGCCTGAAGGGGTGGACCATTTGTTGTTGGTTAGGTCCTCCGGCTGCTCTCCCAAGAGTAGTGTCATCGGCAAATAAGAGCACATCAGTAGTGACATCAGACGATATGGTTCGGGGAAGGGCATTAATGTAGAGAATGAAAAGAATGGGGCCAAGGTGAGATCCCTGGGGAACGCCTGCAGAAACTGGGTGGGTCGGCGACTTGGCAGAGAGAACTTTGACACAGAAGGAACTGTCTCTGAGGTAGTTGGTGAACCAAGAAACGGCTTCAGGTATATGATAGTAGCGAGCTGACGGAGAAGAACAGTGTGCGGTACCCTGTCAAACGCTTTCGCGAAATCCAAGAATAGAGCGTGGTAGTCAGTGCGCTTGTCGAGTGCTTTAGCCACTCTTGAAGACTGTTGGAGGAGAAGTGATCCTGTCTTCTGAGGGCACCACTCAAGGAGGCCCATTGACTATGCCAATGTATGCGCTTGGCGCAGTGCCACTGATCCGGGAAGCCGCCGCTGCTGGGGCCATGCAGTCCTGGTATGCCGATGACGCAACTTCAGCCGGCGCTCTCCGACGAATGCGCACCTGGTGGTCCATCCTAGTAGATCGAGGCACCAGGTGTGGTTACGACATCAACCCGTCAAAGTCCGTTCTCCTCGTGAAGCCACAACATCTCGCGCTAGCAACAGAATTGTTTGCCACAACCGGGGTTAACATCCGGACGGACGGCTATCGTCATCTTGGTACTGCCCTGTTCTGCGACGGTTACGTGTCCCAGAAGGTTGACACATGGTGCACAGAGCTGCAGACCCTCGCCAAAACATGCGGCGTCTCAACCTCAGGCTGCTTACGCTGTCCTTACCCATGGTCTCCGGCATAAGTGGTCATTCCTTGCGAGGACAATGCCAGCCATCGCGGGCCTCCTGACACCGCTGGAAAACTCCATCAGCCAAGTTTTCCTCCCCGCACTGACTGGTCGCCAGGCCCCCGGCGAGGAAGAACGTGCCATCCTGGCGCTTCCGTGTCGTCATGGTGGTTTGGGAATTCTAAACCCAGGAACCCTTTCCCAGCAGAACGACACGTCTCCGTCTGTCACCAGACCTCTAGTCGAGCAGCTCCTTCGACAGGAGGAATCCATCGAGGAAGGTGTTGCTGCAACCAATGCAGCCAAGGCGGCCCAACGCACAGCTAATCGCCAAGATCAGGCAATGGCCCTCTCCTCCCTCAGGGATACCCTGAGTGACGACCACAGGCGGACTCTGGATCTAGCCGCAGAGAAAGGTGCCTCCAGTTGGCTCACCGTAGTCGGCCATCTCGCCGGTTCCAGTTTACCATCCACAAGGCTGGCTTCCGGGATGCCCTATGTCTGCGGTACGGCTGGACCCCTCCCCGGTTGCCGTCTCACTGCACCTGCGGAAAGCCCTTCGACACCACCCATGCCCTATCATGTGCCATCGGAGGATTCACTGGGATGCGCCACAACGAGCTCCGGGATCTAACCGCTAATCTGTTGCGTGAGGTTGCGCATGACGTCAGCGTGGAGCCAGAGTTGGATCCCCTCTCGGGTGAAACATTCCCTCTCCGGTCGGCCAACACGGAGGCTCATGCTCGTCTTGATGTGGCGGCACGTGGAGTGTATGGGAGTAGGTTAGAGAGGACAATGTTTGATGTTCGGGTGTTTAACCCTTTTGTCCCCTTCAACCGAAACCTTACTCTCCCGTCTGTCTACAGAAAGCACGAGCAGGAGAAGAGGCGTAAGTATGAACGGCGAGTCCTGCATTACTCGTTTGTTCCCGTGGTTTTTGCAACCACTGGCGGCCAGGGGAAAGCTGCTTCGGCCCTCTTCGCCAGGATTGCCAGAAAGCTGTGTGAAAAGCGCCGTGAGCCTTTCCCGGTTATGATGGCTTTTGTACGGGCGAAGATCTCCTTTTGCCTTGTTCGGGCAATGGTTGCCAGTCTACGTGGTCACCGTCGGAACCCGCCTCGACATCTGTCTGGTTCGGCTGTGCTGGCGGCTGCTGAATGTGCCCTGGTGCCATAAACGGTGTACATGATACAGTACAGTTTCTTTGGTAACGGTGTTTCATTTACTTTTGTATTTTCAGTTCGTTTTCTTTGTATTTAACTCCTCATTGTTTTTTTTACCAGGCGTGGGCCATCCCCCAGCCCTGACTTCATAGGTGCCAAACATTTTACGTGTTTCATTTCTATTTTGAGAGTTTAATAAAAAAAAGGTATTTTACGACTCCCTGTTCAGTACTGTATTATGATTGTAACATTGAGTAAAGTAATGCCTAATGGTCTATATAACACCTGGGAATGTCACTCATAGCTCCGGGAAAAATGCATTGTCAAGGTAAGGGCACCTGTTCTCCGAGTTACTGCAAACGTCAAACGGCATTTTGCCTTTGAATCGCCGATATCTCGGCTAGATAGGTGATACGAATATTGAAATTGTGCTAAATCTTTTCAAAATTCGGGTCACCACAATCGCCCTCCTAGAAAGCCCATCAGGAAAATGATCTCTTTGCGAGACGTTCTATGGATACAAGAGTGGCTGGGGCGAATGCCTGGGTGACCAAAAGTTGCGAAAGGAGAGAAAAATGGGAGTTTATAGAGAGAGGTTCTGCAAAAACGAAAATGCGTACAAACTATTACTTTCGCTTTGGCCATCCTTGCTCCTCGACTATAGTCGCTGTTGAGCACTGCCGATAACCGTATGGAAACAATGAAAACTAAAAAGGATTCCCAACTACATATCAACACCCTGAGTTCGTAACTTCGAGGCTTATCACTTTGTAACATTGATTAAATTTTGTCGATTTTAGGGGCATGCCCATGATGTCCATTTGTGGCGCTGTCCCCTACGAGTATGAGTATGGCAAGTGTCGGATTTCGCTTGCCGCGACTGTACATGACTGTATCTGCATGTATGCTCTTGTGTACTAGTAGAGGTTTCTGTGTTGCGTGAGATCGGTGCCCTGCTCTGTGGATTATAGGATGCTGCAGTGACGTCACACAGCACAACACCACACTACGGCCACAGGACTGCAATATCCACACACAAGTCACACACACACAGAGCCACGTGATGCAGCAATTTTTTTGAAGAAGATCAGCACACAAAGGGTACACATCCTGTGTATTTGTTGAATTTATTGGTTAATTGGTTAGAATAGGCAGAGGATTCCACAACTGGGCTCCGGCAGGTGAAGGGACGGAAATTTGAAGATACGCAAACAGACTGGGAAGTTGTCCCGAAAAGCCATGGCTCGACGTTGGTGGGCAACCGACTATCGCAATAGTAATTTTATTGTGAAAACACGAAGAAAACAAAGAAACAGCAACATATAGATGCATTCTTAGACAGGGGTAGGTTTAAGAGAGCGTCCAATTGTTCACGCGAAGAAGGACGTAAAGCAGTGCATGCGGAAAATACTCATTTCGTCCTGCCTGCTCCACCTACACAATACAGAATACGCATGGAAAACGCACACAATATGGTCAGGCGTATAAAACTGCTCAACAAGAACGTGGATTTTGCCGCTCGGTGCCAAAAAGCCAAAATAGGTAACTGCCCATAAATTATACAAAAAAGAAAGACCAAGGAACTACAAGTTATGCTATACTGTCCACTAACACCACCAGTTACTAAACAATCAGCTCATGCGATAACATTGCACGACACTGACCGACGGTACTGACGTTCTACAACTAACTGGCTAACAGCTCTAGCACATCTTGGATGCGCACTCCAACAGCCTTCCAACTTGGAAGGTTCTAAGTTATAGAAATAACATAAGGTTGGGGGGGGGGGGGTAGTTGTAGAACGTCAGTACCGTCGGTCAGTGTCGTGCAATGTTATCGCATGAGCTGATTGTTTAGTAACTGGTGGTGTTAGTGGACAGTATAGGGTAACTTGTAATTCCTTGGTCTTTCTCTTTTGTATAAATTAAACCTTGGCTCTCCATCTGAGTCCTGTCCATTATTTATTAATGGTTCACATGGGTCAGATGATGTCGGCCATTTTGGTTGCACTGTCAAGACGTGAAGTCCGTGATGAGCTCCTCAGTCTATTTAATAATGCTTGCAATCACTGAGCGCCGGTTGTGTGGGAAGGCAACTAGGCAGTACTTGTCTGCTGAACAGTTTCCATCCATATTCTGGGGATGCATGTTGTACCAGTTCTAATTGCATTGATCTTGCATTTCAAGTAGGAACTGGGTTGCAATACTAACATTCTTTTTACACGATTACTTTCTTGCATTAAAAATTGTTTTCTTTCTTTTTAACTCGGATGCTGAGCCAGTCAATATAATTTTAAAAACTAAAATAGAAGAAATCACATGGAAACGAGTTACGAATGTCTCAGTGGCCTGTTAACTTTTGTGCCCTGTTATCGCACTTTCTGACTGCATGTTGTGGAGAGTTGCTTCATAACTCGTTTCCAGGTGATTTTTTCTTTCTTTTCAGTGTGTTTTGTTCGAATCCTTCATGATGGCACATTGAGTTTTTTTTTGTTTTCCCATTAAAGAGGCCAAATGTGGATCATCAGATCATTCTCAGTGAGTAACGGAGTTCACATGAAGCCATTATTATTGTTATTACTTCAGAAGTATTATTATTATTATTATTATTATTATTATTTTAATATGGCAATAAGTAGGACGAGCTGAAGCGACATGTGGACTACTTTATTAACAATGTAAGCGATGGAGACGATGCAAGAAACAACCTAAAGGGTAAGGAAAAATACATGTAAGAAGAAAAAGGGCAATGGAAAAAAAAGATGATTCGAACAAGTTTTCGTACAACACTCTTCAGGAATCACCGTTGTACTAAAGAACAAAATGAGAACAAAGGAAATAATATAGCAATCAAGGTCCCAAACGCGGGAGGCCTAGGAAAAACCCATCACCTAGACGGCAGGATAGTTCCCTGCCGCTGTCTGCCGCTCCCCCTCTGACATCTGTGTTGGACGGGCTGGAGCTTGGCAGCTCTTTGGAGGTGCGTGCGGAACCGCCACTGGTGCAGCCCTCGGGTGTGCCTAAGTCTGTGCCTCTGGGTGCTTTGCATGGGGCTGTGCCTCGAGTGGTGACAGCACCTCTGCCTCCCCCTGACCCTCCTCCTTCGAGGTCTGTGTTGGTGGGGAGCACCCGTGGTGGTCGATTTGTCCCACCGGAACCAGAGCTGGATTCAACAGAAAGACCAACAACCAAGGCGGCAACAACAACACCAGCTTCACATCCAACAACAACACCAGGTTCACATCCAACAACAACAACAACAACTAATCCACAAAACAAAGCAGCAAATGACAGACCACGGAGATCTACAGCAGATTACAACCGGACCTATGAATTCACGGTAAAAATACAAAGGAAACAATCGGAAAGGACGACGACTGACGTGAAGGCAACGGCATTCAGGGTTGGCGTGGGTGGTGAAGGTGAGACGCAGGAGGATGCAAGTGAGGAGGAGAGTCAAACCGCGGTGGATGACGGAGCAGGTTCTGATTCGGACAGTGAGGGAGAAGGTGAGCTGAGTGAGGGTGAGAGGGAGTGTGAGGGTGTGCGCGTGAGTCGAGATTGTGTGCGTCCGTCTCGTAATAACAAGTCTTCAGTATACAATCATTTGGTTTCTAGTACTGACTGTTGTCGTACTTATTCTGATTCCTGTTTTTCTGTTTTGTGCCGTGCTCGTCATGGTTATCTTTTGCAGTTACAAGTTTTGGAAGCTGTTTGTCAGCGCATTCATAAGCCGAATTTGTGTGTCCAGAAAGATAGTGTTATTACCCTAAAATTGTTCAAATAATGTTCTGTTGTGTAGTGTGGCAACGTTGTTGCCACTTGTGCCTAAATGTGTTTTGTCACCTTCTTGTTTATTATTGTTATTATTATCATTCGTTCTCACTTTTTTGTTTTTTGTTGCTGATACACACTTGTCACGCTTAGTTCTTACTTGTATACCCTTGTTTTCTGCACACTTTTGTGAGAAATCGCACCTCGATATTCTAGTGCTGTCATTGTATCGTGTCACCCTACCTTGATTGCTATATTATTTCCTTTGTTCTCATTTTGTTCTTTAGTACAACGGTGATTCCTGAAGAGTGTTGTACGAAAACTTGTTCGAATCATCTTTTTTTTTCCATTGCCCTTTTTCTTCTTACATGTATTTTTCCTTACCCTTTAGGTTGTTTCTTGCATCGTCTCCATCGCTTACATTGTTAATAAAGTAGTCCACATGTCGCTTCAGCTCGTCCTACTTATTGCCATATTAAAATTATTGTCTCCTCGTCGAATTTTTAAATTATTATTATTATTATGAAATGACCCAAAAGCAATGTGCCTATCGAGGGGTTTATTTATGGACCTATTTATGCTTACCATTATCATTCTTGTGATGCTACCAACCTAGATTCTCAATGAGCCTGCGTGAGAGCTGCAAAGTTGCCTCCTGAGAAAACAGCAGCACATCAACGGGAGCAATGAGAAATATCGAAAGGTAAAAAGCAAAGCAATGCTGACTACGAAGGACACTCCTTGGTCTGAGTCCTGGTGGCGGAAGTAATTGTTTTTTCAGCCTTTTTTCTTCCCTCTTAAGATCTTCGCTACCTTGTCATTGGGAAGAAATTCCCGTTTGGATTTTGCGAAGTAAAAAAAAACAAAAACGGAGCCCCTTTGAACTCCCGCTGCCTTATGATCATCTGTTGTACGGTACAGTAGAACGGCGTTTATCCGGACGTCAACTATCCGGATGATCCGGATTATCCGAATCGCCTCATCCGAACACCCTTGAGACAGCCCGGGTACCTAGGGTGGCGGATAACCGACACTCTACTGTTAAATAGGGTATTTTTTCATTTGACCCGACGAGACCACACGACGCTTGCAGATCACAGCACGAACAGTTCACCAGCCACACTCCACGAAAGCAAGTAGTAGTAGTACTCCTGACGAGTCTTGTTTCGTTCCATAGAGACCTATTACTACTATTTGACGGACCTATTGAAGATGGCAACAAAGAATTATTACTCTACTGTTTGGTTATGAGACCACATAAACGGCTGTACTTCCTGAAGGAAAGAATTACTAGTAAATATTATTAGTTATTCAATGGATCTTCTTCTCCGTGATGTGCATAGTTGCACCTTCTCTCCCCCCCCCCTCTGTATAGAGGTGACATAACTCGCATCATTTTATATTTTGGCGCTACACTCTGCGTAACGCCATTCATAGAGCACAATGCACGCTACCTTCTGCTGCTTCTCCTCCGTGATGTGCTAGTTGCGCCTTTTCTCTCTCTCTGCCCCCCCCCCCCCCTTCTGCATACTAGGTGACATAATTCGCATCTTTTTTGGCGCTATACTCTGCGTATATACTGCTCTTATGTGGCTTCCACGGTATTCATTGTTATTACCTGACGATGGCCAAGTGCCGAAACGTTGTAAAAATAACGGAACTGGTTCGGATGTGATGTGCAGCGCTATGGGAATGGGTGTGTCCACCCGAATTCTTTTCACAGATGAAGCTGCAGGAAGCCTCAGCCCTTCTTCAATGGATCAGTCGGGGAAATGAACTGCTTTTTTCTTTTTTTAAAGTGTAAAAAGGCAAGACCCACCAGTAGGCATATGCGGATAATGCCGGCAGAAAAATTGGCAGAATTCGGTACTTTTTCTGGTAAGTTTCATGCATGTTTGGTATGTGTAAACATAAAGAAATGGAACAGAATTCGAGGAATTGCCCGCCATAAGGTTTGTATGGTTCTGCCAATTTCACTGCTTTTCGAGCAGAATCTGCCCCCTTTTCGAGCATTATCCGCACACCCCTACCCACCAGGACTCAAACCTTGGACCTTGCTTGTCATGAACAATGCTCTAACCATCTGAGCTATGGGACCAGGCTGAACCTAGTTGGTCCGCTGGCGGAGCGGGAAAAAAGACCCAAGTGCCATTGGTATGCATAGTATGTGTTGTGAGCTGCCTTTGGAGTGAAAAAGCAAACTGTTCCTCGCCAGCGCATTTTTTTAGTGTTTATTTGAATTCGGATAGCTCAACGGTACAGAAGTACAACTACAAAGAGCACCGAATAGAAGGCTCCGAGAACGGGAAACCAAAAGACAAAACAAAAACAGCAACATCAATTTACTGATTATGCACATTGCTTGAAAGCAAATCACAACATTTTAGGTTGAGCCTAGGCCTTGACAGATTATGCTAATATTTTCGTGAAATTAGGCTTTTCGCATTGCTGAAAAAATTGCAGAATTATGCTATTTTTTTGCTAAAAGTTATCATATTATGCCGCATTATTGTCTGTCTGTCTTTCTCAACCCAAGTGGATGCAGTATGTGCAAATGTCAATAGGAAGGTTGGAGCATTTGTCCACGCAAAGCAGAATATCAGCATTTTTGGCAAACGACTTTTCTATTTATCGATCATTCAGTCCACATTTGAGTTTGGCAGCACTGCATATATCCATTGCTTATCACAAGCCCTATATGACAAGCTTCTTACTGCCAGCCGCGTAGCATTAAAGAGAATATTTTCGTTGGATAGAATGACTCCCACCACTCTTCTATACAGTCATACTAACTTGTACGCCCTTGAGAAACGCCTCAACTTCAAAACCTATGTATTTGTTTACCGCTGCCTGAATGGACTTGCTAGTCCTCTTCTGCGAGACCGCTTTACCTTGCGCGCCCATGGTGCTCGCACTGCAGCCACCACCCGTGGCCAAGTCTCTGCTGCTCTTGTTCTGCCCCCCGCTAACACCCGATATGGCTTTAGTGCAATTTCTTATTTGGGCGCTGCCAGGTGGAATACACTTCCACCGGCTTGCCGCATGTCTAGTTCACCAGCTGAATTTCGCTCATCCATCAAATTATACCTAGGGTTCCCTGTAAAAAGGCGCTGACGCCTGTTGGGAATTCCCTAGTAAAAGAAGAATAAATAATAATAAATAATAATATTATGCTCACATATGCTGCTAATGTATTATGCTTCTGTGCAAAATAACAGGGGAATTGTTTTGTAGAGGGCGTTGTCCTGTAGTAGCAAAAGTTCAACGGGGTCACCGCACCGTCCGACCTAGCTACGACCGTCACTGATTGTACATGTAGTGGACTGGACATGTTCTCAAGGGAGTCGTAAACCTACGACTTCCTGGTGCGTCTTTTAAAAGCGGGATTCACAGAAGCTTTTTTTGCGATGCGACACGCGATGCGACGCGATCTGCGACGGACGCGTGCGATGCGAACTCGCGAAATACCATTCACAGAAGAAGTCAGTGATGCGACAACATCTTGCTGATTTGGCTACGTTACCATGATATTCGCGCGGTTTGATACAACTTGTACAAATTTATAGGCAACTCTTGAACCTTTGTACAACTTTGCTGTAGAAAAGGTCAAAATCGTACGCCAAATCGCTTGTCGCATCGCATCGCATCGCAGAAGTTCAGCCAAGCTCAACTTCTGCGATGGCCCAGTTGCGTGGGGTGCGACATGGCTGCGATTTGGGGTTTTCCCAGTTTCGCGTCTGTCGCATCGCGTGTCGCATCGCAGAAAAGCTTCTGTGAATCCCGCTTAAAGGCCAATTCACAATACAACTTTCTGCGACGCGACATGCGACTTGCGACACATGCGACGAGCTGCGCCAGCGATACACGGTTCACAATATTCTTCATGTTTGCGACATCCTCATGCACAAGTAGTACTATGCACGTGCACTGCACGTGCACCCAGGGTCGAAACTGTACTCCATTTGTGTATGTCGCGTGTCGCATGTCGCAAAAGTTGAACCTTCTTCAACTTCTGCGACAGGTGCATTGCAACAGCTTGCGACAGCTTGCGACAGCTCGCGACAGGCAGTTTCTTGTCGCAACTGTCGCAAATCGCGTGTCGCGTCGCAGAAAGTTGTATTGTGAATCGGGCTTAACGGGATTCACAGAAGCTTTTTGCGATGCGACACGCGATGCGACGCGATCTGCGACGGACGCGTGCGATGCGAACTCGCGAAATACCATTCACAGAAGAAGTCAACGATGCGACAAAGTTTTGCTGATTTGGGTACGCCACCAAGATATTTGCGCGGTTTGACACAACTTGAAAAAATTTATAGGCAACTCTTGCACCTTTGTACAACTTTGCTGTAGAAAAGGTCAAAATCGTACACCAAATCGCTTGTCGCATCGCATCGCATCGCAAAAGTTGAGCCAAGCTCAACTTTTGCGATGGCCTGCGATGGCCCAGTTGCGGCAGTTGCGTGGGGTGCGACATGGCTGCGATTTGGGGTTTTCCCGGTTTCGCGTCTGTCGCATCGCGTGTCGCATCGCAAAAAAGCTTCTGTGAATCCCGCTTGTACTTGTACCAAGAGTACATAACCCCCCCGGGGGTTATGTACTCTTGCTTGTACTTGTAGAACATGTACAACTGTATGGAATTATTTGACGCGAACAGGCGGATTATTCCAATTTTATGCGATTCGTATGCAATTTGCCTCGAATTATGCGATTATTCGATTTTGGTAGGAATTATGCGAAAAATTATGCTAGCATAATCTGTCAATGCCTACATGGTGAGGCTGTGTTGAATACAATGTCATGAGCCGTCTCAACCCGGATTGAGTTCAACCCGAGTCAAGTTTCAACCCGCCATGAACACAGATTGACTAGCTCGTTTATAGATTACGTGTATACACGATGCATTGCGCTTGACCCGGGTTGACATTTCGCCCTGGGTTGATTTCAACCAGGGAGCAGTACAATACGGTATTGTACTGCTCCCTGATTTCAACCCTCCCCTAATAGGCGATTCACACGACAGGCAAATCCACGTTTGTCAGGTGCCCGCAGGAAGTGAAACGTGAGGCTGAAGTTCACACGGCCGCGGGTGGCGGCCAGAGCTCCCGCGAGTATCCGGTGAGTATACGGCGTTACTGTGGTGATTTGGAATGAGTACCCAAAGACAAAGGCCAAACAACCAGTGTTCAAGACTACCGTACGATAGTACGACCTCACAGCCTCATAACTGTAAAAGTGCCCGCAGATGAGTGCATTATATTTCAGAATGCTCTGTCTCCATATCAACGTGTTTGGCCTAATTCTCTAACTTGACAGCTAGTTTGTAGTGTATTTTACATGTTTTATGTGAATTTTGTGTTTTATTTTGTGCGCATGCCCTTTGGCATCTTGGAAAGCGCACATTTTTTTGTTGTCGAAACTGTCCGTTCCACACTTGCTCTTCGGCCTTTTTTCTAGCTCGCCTTGAGTGACGGCTGCGTTTTGTACGTCTTGTACCTTTTCAGTTTTGAAACATTTCTTAGTCTTTGTACTTCTTCTAGTTATGGATACTGGTATGGAGACGTCGTCTACACCGTCCAGCGAGATGGTTGGAATCCTGGAAAATATCCAAGCCAGCATGCAAAGCATTGCTGATCGTGTAACGAGAATCGAGGA